GGCCATACACAAATGTAATATTGTGGGATTTATTTTAATAGATATAATCAAGCCTTGGCCAAGAGTTTAGAGCCAAAGGCCTCCCAAATTAAAACAAAAAAAAAAAAACACCAAAACCACAAAACACCAACTTTCAAAAAATATATGACAGCACTGATTCTAAAAGGGATTAGCTTTACTGTTACAACACCGTCTTATGTTATTAAGTGCTACTGTCAAGTAGACTAAGACTCATAACATCCTATGAACAGAGCTAAGCCTTGTCCTACCCTGCACCATCCTTACAATCTCTGTCAAGTTCAAGCCCATTATGGTAGTTACTGTGACAATCCATCTCCTTTAGAGTCTTCCTCTCTTTTGCTGACCCTCTACCATATGATATTTCTAAGGACGGTTCCTTCTCAAAACAGACCCAAAGTACGTGAGAAGATGTTTCACCATCCTTGCCTCTAAGCAGCACCCTGGTTGCACTTCTTTCAGGACAGATTTGCCTAGTCTTTTGGCAGTCTATGAGATATTCAATGCTCTTTGTTAACATCACAGTTCAAAGGCATTGATTCTTCCTTGGTCTGCCTTATATACTGTCCAACTTTCAGATACATAGGAAACAACTATCATTGCTTGGATCAGGAACACCTTAGTCTAAACTGACAGCCTTGCTCTTTAGGACTTTGACTAGCTCGTTAATAGAACGTGGTGTGTTTTTTGTTTTTTTGTTTTTTTTTTTTTTTACTTTTTGACTGCTGGTACCACGAATGTTAACTGTGGATCCAAGTAAAATAAAATCCTTGACAATGTCAATCTTTTCTCCATCTCCTATGATGTTGTTGCTTATGGGACAAATGGTGAGCATTTTTATTTTCTTGTTGAAAAGTAACTCACTGAAGGATATAGTGTTGGATTTTCAGGAATCAGTACTTCAAGTCTTTCCTACTTTCTGTAAGCAAAGTTGTGTCATCTGCATAACACAGGTTGCTAATGAGTACTCCTCCAATCCTGAGGTCTCATTTTCCTTCATATAGTCTAACTTCTTGAACTAATTGCTCAGCATCCAGATTGAATAAAGGATACAATGGTGATGTACATCTTTCCCGAGTTTAAACCGTGCAGTGTTGCCTTGTTCTGTTCTGACAACTGTTTCCTGATCTACGTCTATGTTTCACATGAACACTATTAAGTATTTTAGGACTCTCATCCCTATTCTCTTACATGTTACTGTTGTTAGATGTCACTGAGTTGAGTATGACTCATAGCGACCCTATATCCTCTCATCACACTTAATCATTCTGTTTGCTGAGTAAGTCAAGAAGCTTGAATATATAAAAAAGAATGTGACATGAGAATTCAAGGAAGATTCATCAACAATTCATGACATGCAGATGACACAGTACTACTTGTTTAAAGTGAAGAAGACTTGAAGCACTTACTCATAAAGATCAAAGATTATAAACGTCTGTATAAAGTACATCTTAACATCAAGAAAACAGAAGTCATCACAACTGACCAATAAGCAAAATTATGATAAATGAAGAAAAGATTAAAGTTGTCAAGGATTTCATTTTCTTAGCTATACTACCAACACCCATCTTATACTGGGAAAATCTGCTGCAAAAAATCTCTTCAAAGTATTAAAAAGCAAAGATGTCATTCTGAAGATGAAGGGGCCACCTGACCCAAATCATGATGTTTTCAATCATATCATATCATATGTATGTGAAAACTGGGCAATGACTAAGGAAGACGGAACATTTCGTGCATTTGCGGCACTGTGTTGACAGTGAATAAACACGGAATGAATGCTGAATATACCATTGTGTGCCAGGAGAATAAACAAAGGTGTCCAGAGAAGTCCAGCCACAATGCTCTGTGGACACAGAGAGAGCAAGATATTGGCCTCATACTCTGGGCATGTCTTCAGGAGGAACTGGTATCTGGACTTAGTAGAGTGAGTGAAAAAGAAAAGCCTCAAAGAAATGGACTGACAGCGGCTCCAACAAGGGCTCAACTCGGGCAATTGCCTGTGCGGACGGCGGCAATGCTCTGGGCAGTGTTTCACTTTGCCAGCCATGATGTTGCTGAGTGGAAGTGGACTTGTCAGCACCTAACAACTACAGCAACAACACAACGTCTTAGGGACAAAGGTAACTGCTGAAATATTCTAAGTTGTTAGCAACACTTTCTCCACATGTTTCTAGAATTTACATATTCCTCCTGCTGTTCAGTGCGCAGAGCTCTTCTTCCTCTGGCAGTGAATCCTGCCAGTGCACTGAGAACTTCGCTACCTCCAATTCCTCCCCAGAATGAACCAGACAAAGGGTTTAACTTACCTTTGTTCCTGGACAGACTCGGAAGGTGTAAAGGCGCCAGGGAATGATTTTCAGATAGAACTCCTTCACTGAGAATTGCTGGAGAATCAACATACAGAAAATAAAAAAGACTCTATTTGGGTACTATGACTTTCTTTCTACATTTCTCATGCTAACCAATTATCCCCACAGATAGGAGACTCTAATCTAGTCAGTATAAAATCAAACACATCAAATCTGTTTTAAGATAATATTAAAAACATTCTGACAATGCAGTTTCACATAGAGAATTTTAATAGTCTTCATTCTCAACTATTACTGATATTTCTAATCTTCTGAGATCATGTTTCACTTTAGGAATAGAGACAATTTCATCCAAAAACAAGCATATCTACCTCTGCTTTGCCCTGTACTGCTAAGAGACTTTCCTCAGGACAGGAAGCATAAGTACCAATATTCATTTCTTTATTCCATTTGCATGTTTCCAACAATTTTAAATGTGTGTATGTGTGTGTCTGTGTGCACACTACTTAAGAGTTCACAAAAATCCTTAAAGAAGAATAAAAAGGGGTCTCTTCATACCATTAATAAAATGAGGAAAAATGTAAACATTTTTTGGGTTTTTTAAAAATTTTTATTATTTTGTGTGGGTGTACCGTCAAATCGGATCTGACTGGTACAGGAGGAGATTGTCCCTCCTTTTCCAGCAGAGCCATCTGGTGGATTTGAACTGTGTGCCTCTGGGATTACAGGGCAGCTTCTTGCCACTAGGCCACCAGAGCTCCCCAAAACTTGAAAATTTTATCTGAACATCCTGATTCTTTTCTTCCTCCTTTTAAAAAACTCATTAAAGAAAATTTCAAACAGACACTAAAGACAACAGAACAGTGGATCTATCACTGTTGTTGTTGCTGACTGCCATCGAGTCAAGCATGACTCCTAGCGACCCTATGAACAAAAGGCTTGAAGCCTTTCTATAACTATCGACATTTATCAAACTTCATAGAGCTTCCAGAATTATGTTGTTTATGAAGTGGATGCCACTCCTGCTCGAAACTGGGAGCGTCAACAAATACTGTCTACCATGGGTAACCGTTACGATATTTGAAACCCCAATGGCACAAGGTTCAGCATCCCAGGAACCCCACATTACCTCAGTACAGCATATTGGCAGAAGACTGCTGTACCACTTAGAAGAATGTTCCTCCAAAATACAGTAACAATCAACTTTAAACACAAAGGCCCTCCCCCAAGGTCTTGTTGACTCTAAACAATAGGCTTAAATAAAAAAACAACAACCCAATATTGTAAGTAGCTGTTATGTGCTGCTGAGTCTCCTGCGACTAGCTTTAACAATTACCAACTCATGGTCAATCTTATTTTACCTATCTCCCTACCCATTATTACCACCATCCTTAACAAATTTAGCTAAGATATTAAAATAATGAATGGCACATAACAAAGTGTTCTGACATCTAATACAGTAAGAACTGAATTTTGGTTACAGGATAATAAGTATGTATGGGAATGTATTAACACAGTCCTTTTCTTTTTTATGAAGATAGAATGTATAAGCAAAATAAAAATATTAAAAAGACAATTCCTAACAAAAGTTCTCTTAGCCCAGAGGCCTTGGGAAGTTCACCTTTCTGTCTCTGCCAAATTTCTCCATTTCAATCCTCAAGCCTGATGTGCCCTTCTTTTACTGTAGCTGCACAAATCCCAGAATGAAAGATCAAATTGTCTCAGAAAAGCACAATGGGCCAATAGTGATTTTTTTTAATACTGAAAAAAAATAGTTAAGTGTAACTTTCTTTAAAATTCTAAGAACCATGTCTTGAAAAATATTCCCAGGGGTAACCAAAGGGCTCAACGCCATAGGTATTCTGATAGAATCTCTAGACAGAATTTATTCTAATCCAAATAAAATATTTGCAGCAGAAAAGGGGATATAATATTCTGCTCAGCGTGATGCAGTCACTTTCAGAATCCAAGAAACAAAACAAGAAAATGACTTTTCCTTGATTCTCATATTTTTCCCTGGTTATCTCTGGATTTCTGTTGCTAAATATGTGAAGGCTTACATGAGGATTTCAAGACAAGAATGAGCATTCGAACCTTTGGTGACACGTAGCAGTACACCTTCTTTGGTTTCTTCACTTTCTCTGGGGTGTAGCACTCAAAGGGTGAATCTTCATCTTCCTCCTCCACAGCAGTGGAAGGCCAGCTTTGAAAAGACCTCACGTGCATGGGGGGAAGGTGCCAGTTGGTGGCATTATACAAATAGACCTCAAAGTAAATACTAACCCCTGAGGTGGATACATTGTGCTCAACAATGTTCTTTTCATTCTCTGAATCAAAACAAGGAATAAGGAGTCAGGACATGTAGAGGAGGATTATCTATTCCAAGCCCCTTAAGATCCTAAAAGCTCTTAAATAAAATAGTTGTCTTAAATACATCTGTCAAGGTGGTCAGAAGAGTACAGGCGCAAAAGGAATAAATTTCCCAGCAATAAGACCAAATCATAGCTTTTCTTTCAACTCAACACTTAGGACAATAATGTCAAACTTGTCATTATTTATTGGTTGGTTTTGGTATAAAATGCAGGCATGGAAACAGCCATGGGAATGCAGGATGAGTAGCAAGAACACCTGGCAAGTCGGCCTGTTGGTAGTCAGTGACTTCTCAAAGGAGACACCAGTGCTCTCCTCTTCTTGAGGACTGAGCTATAGGACGAAATCAGAACATCATTCAACATGCACAATTTTTCAGATTTCTAAGGCAATCTCCTTTGTTCAAAGAATTTTCCTATCTCTGATTTAATAAACCTCACTATTAGTAAGTACTGTCCAATGACAACAAAGGGAACAAGAGAGGAAAGTGCATTAGGAAGGGTGAGAATGAGGGAGAAAGGAAGCTAGTCTCCTGAGCACACAGAGAACACTTACCTCGTGAATGGACAAACTGTAATTGTGCTCATCTCTCAAGGACATGGAATTGTTTGTAGGGTTGTCATACTCATCCCGGGGCACTATTTGAAGGGTGTGTGGCTGGCCACAGGTCAACACAAGAGTAGAAAAATGGCACACAATTTTGGTTTTGGAAGGAACTACCATTCCTGGAATAAAAACAAGGAAATTACGCTATTTCTAAAAGTTTTCTATAGGGTACAAAGAGCTGCTCAATCATTCAGTCCTTAAGAGCTAGACCTCATGAGGATGGCAGACCTTAAAAAGAAGTGCTGAGCACTCACTCATTGGACTGGAAAAAGAACGAACAAGCATGTCTTAGAGAAAGTGCACCCAGGGTGCTCCTTTAAAGGCAAGGATGGTGAAACCACGTCTCATATACATAGTCCATATTGTTAGAAAGGGCTAAGTCCTTGGAAAAAGAAATCAAGCCTCGACAGGTAGAGGGTCAGCGAAGAGAGGAAGACCCTCAATAAGAAAGAATGATACAGTGACTATAGCAACAGGCTCAGGTATGTCAGGGATGGTACGATTAGTATAGGGCAGGGCAAGGTTCAGATCCATTGTTCACAGGGTTGTTATGAATCATAAATGACTTGACAGCATCTAAAAACAACATACATATATATATATGATATGTAGACAGATATATACAGACAGGTTTAACCCAATATTTAGCAAAATTCTAGAAGACTAATCTAATATGTGTATGGAAAGGTGAAATAGGTTTATTAACTGCATGATTTCTAAAGAGAAGGAAAAGAGTCACTTTATTAAATTTCAAAATGTATTATATGACAACAATAATGAAGACTGTGTAAAGGGCTGGGCTTATAGCTCCAAAGAATAGAAAAGAGGATTAAGAAATTAACAAACTGCTATTGAATCAATTCTAACTTCTATCCATACATGAAATAACGGACATGTTGGAAATGACAGATACAGCCCTGGATGTGCTCACCAGTCTATGCCAGGACATTTGCAGAACTGCTGCCTGGCTAACTGACTGGAAGAGATTAAGATTTGTTCCGACTCCAAAGAAAGGAGCTCCAACACAATGTGGAAAATATAGAACAATATCATTAATATTATATGCAAGCAAAATACTGTTGAAGATCATCCAAAAATGGCTAGAACAGTACACAGACAGAGAGCTGCCAGATGTTTAAGCTGGATTTAGAAGATGTCAGGTGGATCCTGGCTGAAAGAAAAGAGTACCAGAAGGATGTCAATTTGTGCCTGATTAACTATGCAAAGGCATCTAATTGTGGATCAGAATAAATTATGGCTAATATTGAGAAGAATGGGAATCCCAAAATACTGGGATTATTGTGCTCACGTGCAACCTATGACTATACCAGGAGGCTATGGTGAGGACAGATCAAGGGAATTCTTTGTTGTTCTCAGGAGCTGTCGAGTTGGGTATGACTCACAGCGACCTTTATGAACAAAAGATCTGAACGCTGTTCTATCCTGTGTCATCCTCATACTTCCTGACACACAAGAGCGCATTCCAGCAGTCACTGTGTCAATCCATGTGACTGAGAGTCTTCCTCTCCTTTGCTTCCCAGCATCATGTTCCGCTCCAAGGAAGAGCACCTCCTGGCAACATGCCCAAAGTATGTGAGGTGAAGCCTCATCATTCTTGCTTCCAAAGTGCACTTGGCTGCACCTTCTCCAAGACTATTCAATCCCTTGGCCTTCTTTGGGATGTTTAGTGCTCTTCTCCAACACCACAGCTCACAGGCATCAATTATTTTTCTATCATTATTAGTCACTGTCCAGCTCTCAGACGGAGAGCAAGTAATGGAAAAGACTATGGCCTGAATGAGATGCACCTCTTAGTCCTCAAACTGACTTCATTACGTCTCAATAAATAGGAAAAGTCACTAACTGCAGATTTTCCCAGTGCAATGCATCTCCTTATTTCCTGACTGCTAGTACCAACCAAGGTTGTTAATTCTGGATCCAAGTAAGATGAAACTGTTGACAGTTTCAATTTCCTCTCAATGTATCATGATGCTGCCTGTCACTCGAGTGGTAAGAATCTTTGTTTTCTTGACACTGAGATGCAATCCATACTGAAGGCTGCAATCTTGCATTCACTTTACCAGAAAAAATTGATTGACACTGATAAATTTCAGTAAGTACCATAATAACAGGAGCTGATGGTAATGAATGAGGAAGTAGAAGCTGCATTTAAGGCATTAATAAAAAATAAGGCCCCAGGAATCGATGTGATACCAATTGACTTGTTTCAATTAACAGATGCAGACTTGGATGCAGTTACCAATCTATGCCAGGAAATATGGAGGACAACTGTCTGGCCAATGAATTGGAAGAGGTCCATATTTTTTCCCATTCCCAAGAAAGGTGATCCAAATGAATGTGGAAACTATCGAACAATATCATTAATATCACATGCAAGCAAAATACTGCTGAAGATCATTAAAAAACGGCTAGACGTGGCAAGAAGCTGCACTGCAACTCCAAAGGCACACAGTTCAAATCCACCAGATGCTCTGCTGGAGAAGAAAGTGCAATCTCCTCCTGTATCAGCCGGATCAGATTTGACAGTACACAGACAAAAAAAACCCCCGCAACAGCTGAAACAGTACAGAGACAGGGAACTGCCAGAAGTTCAAGCAGGATTTAGAAAATTTAGGATTCAGAAGAGGCCATGGCACCAAGGATAACATTGCTGATGTCCGATGGACTCTGGAAAGGGAACTCTACATGGTTTAAAATTAGGAAAGGTGTGTGTCAAGGTTGTGTCCTTTCTCTATACCTATTTAATCGGTATGTTGAGAAAATATTTAAAGAAGGTGGACCCTCTGAAGAATGTGACATCTAGATTAGGGGAAGACACATCAATAACCTACATTATGCAGATGACAAAACCTTGCCTGTCAAAAGTGAGGAGAACTTGATGCACTTGCTGCAGAACATCAAGGACTGCAGTCTTTAACATGGACAGCATCTCAACATAAGAAAACAAAAATTGTCACCAATGGACCAATAAGCAACATCATTATATGTGAAGAAAAGGTTGAAAGTGTCAATGACTTAATCTTACTTGTATCCACAATCAATACACTTGTTTCCAAGAGTCAGAACTAAGGTGTGCCTGATTCAGGCCATGGGTTTTTCAGCCACTAACTATGCATCAGAGAGCTGGACAATGAACAGGGATGATAGAAAAAGAATGATGCCTCTAAATGGTGGCATTGGAGCACAGTACTGAATATTCCATGGAAAAGTAGACATGCTTTGGAGAAGGTACAGACAGTGTGCTCTTTGGCAGCAAAAATGATAAATCCTCTTCTCACATTCTTTGGGAATCTTTGTAGGATGAGGTTATTACTTGGAGAGAAACATAATACTTGAGGAGGAAGGATGGCAAAGGAGAAGAAGATCCTCAACCTGACAGAGTGACAGAGTGACAGAAGCAATGTGTTCAACTGTACAAGATATTGTTAGGATGACACAGAATGAGACAGGGTTCAGAACAACAGCAGTCACCAGTGCAAGGACAACAAATGGGGTCAAATCAACTTGAAACCATAGGCAAAAGGGGAAAAAGAGAAAGAGAACCTTGACCTAAGTCTCATGCTTTACAGACAAAAAAGAAGGAAAATTTAATCGCAGTTTTAAATATAAAATGTGAAACTATTAAATTTTTATTTTAAAGAAGTAGAAAATATTCTGAGATCTAAGACTAAGAGATACGTATTTTTAGATTTGACAGCTATTTAAAACATTAAACATTTAAAACATTAACCACGAAGTAAGATGTACTTCATCAACAGTAATTAATCTTTGCTTGTGAAAGACCCTGTTACGGGATAAAAACACATGTTTTAGACTGGAGGAAAAGATTTGCAAGTCAGATACTCAATAAAAGAGTAGTACTTAGAATACACAAACAATTCCTAACATTCAAAATGTTTCTAATTTTTATTTCTAAAAAATCCCCAGTAATCCCTCCAATCTTGAAGAGGGTGCAGTCGGAGTGCTCTTCGGAGGCAAGGATGACAATGTTTCCGCCTTGCATACTTTGGGCATGTTTCCAGGAGAGGATACTCCTTAATGAGGGGTATGACTACCGGAAGGGTGGAGGGTCGGCAAAGAGGAGGAAGACCTTCAATCACATGGACTGACATGGTGACTGCTGCAATGGGCCCTTCTATGTCAGGAAGTGTGAGGATGACACAGGATAAAACAGGGTTCAGATCTTTTGTTTATAGGGTCGCTATGAGTCGTACTCGACTTAACAGCACCTAACAACAACAACAACAACAATCCCTCTAATTAGAAAATGAGCAAAAGAATGAAGAAACATTTCAGCAGAGAAGGATACACAAGATGGCCAACACGCATATGAGAAAATGCTCAGTATCATTAACCTTCAGTGAATTGCAAATTAAAACCAAAACAGACTATTAAAACACACTTAACAGAATAGGAAATATAAAAAGTATGTTTTTCACTGATGCCTCTGATTGTAGTATTGGCAAAAGAATATTAAATACACCATGGAGTGAATAATTTCAAAGCGATGTATGATAGGGTCTTATGGTTATCACAGGAGTCCACAATTAAGGTTGCATAGTGGAATGTACTAGGGGTGGTGGGAGGGGTGCGGGGGGGATTGTGTACCAGGGAAGGAGTGTTTCTTTTACTTTGAAAGAGAGGAGTGAACCGGGGGGCGGGGATGGGTCGGGAGAGAAGTGCAGCAATGAATGAATAGAAATCCAAAATCTCTGTAAATGCTCATTAAAATTATTTTTTTAAAAATACACCATGGACTGCCAAAGAAATAAACAAATCTGTCTTGGAAAAAGGAGTGAGGATGCAGCAAAACTAGGTCACTCACACAATGCTGATGGGAATGCAAAGTGCTACAGTCACTCTGGGAAAACAGTTTGGCAGTTGAAGATGTTAAACTCACGGCTACCACACAACCCAGCAATCTTGGGCAATCTCAAAGCAATGAAAACCATCCTACAAAAACCTGCACACTAATGCTTATAAAAGCTTGATTCCTAACTGCCAAAAACTGGAAAGAGCCCAGATGGCCTTTACAGGGTGAAGAGCTAAACAAACTGTGGTGAATTCATTCAAACCACAGAAGACGATTCAGCAATAA